GGGGCACACACACTTCCCTGAGAAAAACCAGCCCACGGGGAAAGATCAGTTTCTATAAGGGAAGGTCACAGACCCACGCGGTCAGATTTCAATGTGGTGATTTGGAAGGGAGGGCCCAGAGTGGTAAGGGGTGTGTGTGTGTTATTTTATATGCAAGAACTAGGGTACAGATTAGAGTTGGGGGGCGGGGGAGGTGAGAGGATTCACCAGAGACACAGTGGGGAGCAGAACTAGGAAGACTGACTGAAATACACTGCTAAGGGGAGCAGCAGGAGAGGTCTGAGACAGGAGAGGTCTGCTGGCCATGTGCGTCGCTCCCTGGCCGGGGATCGAACTTGCCGGGAGCGGCTGCAGCCAGCTTTGTAGCACTGTGCTTTAACTGGTTGCACCACGGGGAAGGGCCCCAAAGTGGTAATGTTCATCAGTGAAAGGTGCTGTCCTAGAAATGAGTGTGCAGTCAAGTTCTCCAAGTTTATCCTTGAAACTGACAGAACTCACATAGATGAGGCAGATGAATGTCCCTTGATGCCATTTAAAGTGCCACTGGTTTCCTTTAAACTTGCACTTTGTGGCAATGAATATGCAGAAGAATCCCCAAGCCCTGAAAAGAATTGGTGTGGGGCAGTCATTCTGATTCAAAAGCGTGTAGTATTTGTCTACAAACAGGCCTCCATGCCTGCAGCGCTTATAGACAAGCTTTGGAATCAGAAAACAGACTGTGTAGAGAATAGTCAAGCTCAGACCCACCGGAGCGCTGCCTTCAATCTGCGGCATCGGCCTCATGTTCACATGACTGAAGGAGATGATAGTGACACTACATAAGAAAATGACTAAAATAATGCTTCTGACACACCCTCCGTTGCGACTGGCTGGACGATTTCTAAGTGCGTTTTCATTTATTTACATGGTCATGGGTTGGAATTTCTCTTTTGCCTTTTTATCAACTCAACAGTATGTGTAGCAACATGCGTTTATCAGAAAATGCATTAATAAGTAACTTGAGGCCAAATATTGGAATGTTTCAAAAACATTTCTGCAATGTTCTAGCATTGAACTGGTTTTATAGAACATTGACCATTCTCCTTCCTTGCAATAATCTGTGTGTCCTGATAGAGGGGAACATTTTGCAACAATAGAAGTTAAAGTCTTGGAAATCCTATATTTAAATGAGACAGGGTAGTCTGTGAGCGTGCCTTTGGGAGACAGGGCTTTCTCAGGACTGGGCCGTGTCCTCAGGTATCTCGGGAATATTGACGTAGACTTCCCGGTCAGTTCTCTCCGGTCAGTTCCCAGCAGTACTGCCTTTGCTGCCCTGTGTTAAATGACCACCATGTC